TTTGAAATTTGGGTCCTCCTGCTGGACCTCCAACATTAAAGGTCCCCCAAAAAGTCTGGTTTGTTTATCCCAAATTGGAGGAATTTTAAAAACTGGAAGGCAAAGACTACAATGAGAAACTCATCCTCAAAACGCCTGAGCGATAGTCAGGGAGATTATTCAAGATAAGGATTGGGCCTCAGCCCCTTTACTCAACCCCTCACTGGGGACCAAAAGCCTTGTGCACATGAGTGAGTAAAATGGTCAGAAGGTGGAGAAGTTTCCGGGAGGCTTTGACCTGGGATCCCTATGCACTGTTGTACTAAAATCTGTTGGTAAAGTTCTAATGGGAGCCACAAATATATTGAGAGGATATAGAAATGCAAGAGTTGTTGAGATTAAGGCGACAATCTGGAAAAAAACTGGTATATTTGGAGATTTATGTGAAGTAGTTGTGTCTCTTTTACTTGAATGTATTATGAGGATAGATACTGTGTCTGACTGGAGAACATTTCCCCTACTCAGTATGGTAAAGCAGAAGGTATGTAAATCCTTCCTTCAAGCCATATTCATTAGACATGCTAAATGGGAATGAGTAAGATTACCCAGGCCCACACAGTATAGAATAGAGGCTGGAGTGCTGATATGGACAAATTCTCTGTAGAATAGTCTTGTGTGGAGTGTGGACTGCGGCTTACGGCAAAAGCCTGTGAGCACTTCCTAGTGACAACTACTGGAACTTTGGACAAGAGAATTTGGGCAATTACTAGCTTGCTATCAGCATTAATTGAAACTGCCCCTGTGACTGAAGGACATAAAATAATCTTGATGCCTGAATACCCATTACATCTTGGGTGACGTCAGAGAAATGCTCTAATGAGGAGGGCAGTGCCCAGAAGAGTTCCCTAATAAAATGGAAACGGCTTGTGCTGGAACACCCTACCAGGGGAATGCACGGAGCTACACAGTGCGTTCAGGAGCAGGGAGACTCTTCTCCCCTACGACTGTCTTGGGAACCATGTGAGGAGCTGTAGGATTCTATCGTCACTTGGACGGTGCCCTGTACACAGCTCTCCGTGACCAACAAGTAGCTGCTTGGTTTACGGATGGCAGTTTCAACATGAACAGACAACATTCTGTTTGGAAGGCCACCACTCTGATCGAAAAAGGTGAAAACAAATCAGCCGGGGGAACTGCCCTGTACGCCGTTTACCCTATGTTTCTAATTTTACCTTCTCAGAGGCAGTGGCCAATGGCCTGGCCATAAGGTCAGGCAGAAGGGCAATGGAAGACCGGCCTATTAAAGGGAAGCCCTTACGGGGCACGGCCCTATCAACATCACTATGGGAATTTGAGGGGTGCATTAAAGTAAGCCACGTCAATGCCCATCAGAAGAACCCCCTTCTAGTATCAAAGGGTGATTAGAATTGACAAGCAGATACCCTAATGTGCTCACTTGAGGTAGCCACCTGGGTCCAGGAACTGAGTGGACATTGGGGGCTGCAGCAACGCAGAGATGGGCTGAATCTAGACATACTCCTCTTGTGTCCTCTGAGGCACAAAACGCCAACAAGAACTGTTCTGTCTGCCAACAAGAGAGACAGAGACTGCAGATGGTTATGGGAAGAGTCCCTGGGGGTAGTGCTTGCACATGACTGACAAGACAGACTGATGCCGGTAGCCGTGGGGGGCTACGAGTGGGTCCTGACAGGAATACGCACTGACTCTGGACTGGGCTTTGCTTACCCAGCATAGATGCAAATGCTCAGAGTACTATAAAAGAACTGCAGCAGAAGACATTACGCCCATTTGGACCTCTGAGTCACATCTCTTCAGGCCAAGGAACAAACGTTACAGACCATCATGTCCAAGGATGGCAGAGAGATATCTTCCTCAGTGTAATAGTTTGGTAAAAAGTTGGAATGGGCAATTACAGAGTGGTTGTCTAAAATGAGGGGAGAGGGAATACAGGCATGAAGAACTGGCCTACAAGTTCATGAGAGTGTCCTCGCACTCCACACAAAGGGAGTGTCCGCACTAGAGAGATTCCTCTGCATGTCTGGTGGAAATGGGGAAGAGAGGATGTGGGGAGGATGCTAGCGTGACTGTGCAATTGTTCTCATGGAGGGGGGATGCTGATATGACAACTGTGCTTTTTCCTTTCTTTTCCACGTCACCTCAATTTTCTTTTTCCTCCTACCTGATGCAGTGGTCCCTGGACCAAGGATGCAACTACATTGCTGGAAGCAGGAATGATTCCTAAGCAACAAACTATAACTGTTTAAAATCTTGATGTCAGAATCCCTAAGGGCCTGATGGAGTGGGTTGTACTTTCACTCCATCTGGCAATATTGGGGCTAACAATGACCACAGTCATGTTGCCTATTGGTAGAAATAGGCCACTAGTTCTGTGTCTCTGTAAGCCTACTCCATATGAATGGGAGTGGACTGAGGAGGAGGTGCTTGCTAGACTTGTGTTGCTGCCTGCAATCTAGACCAGCAGAGTGGCCGAACCTCACGTCCCTTGCAGAGGTGAAAAGGTTTGGGTGCAAATGGAGAGAAGGAATAGTAGCTAAGGGTAAAGGAATGAATAAATGGATTATGCAATGAGAGAATTCCAATACTAATGCTTGGAAAGAAGCTCAGAGCAAAAAAATGATATTGTCTCTTAGTTCAATTATACCACATGCCTGGAAGTGTGAAGCCATATATTGCTGAGACCACTCCTTTTGAAACCTGACAAGATCGAATGAAAGCCTGAAAACCTAAGTGTCCTCGCCCTGAGAGACATTTTGGTCATATGATATGATGATGGCTTGAGCTAACTGTTAGAGGCTGGGTGGGACTCTAGTAGTGTGCCAGTATCTTTTGACTCTTATTTTTCAGGTTATATCTACCAGAATGTGATATGCTATAACACTGGCATTGTTGGAAAGATTATAATACTGATATTGATGGTCAAATGTATTGGGAAATTGAGTTTAATAGCTTCCTATCCTTACCCCATATTGACTCCTCCAAATGTTGCTGTATTTGTTATGCTCAGTCAGGTAAGTTCGTTTTGGTATAAAAGATCCCGTGGTCAAAAACCAGGTGGTGGCCTATGATGTAATAAAGAATACACCTGGTCTTGAGGGGGGTGCCAGCAAGAGCTTCCAAAACCCTTGCTATTTCCTGCGCGATAGGAGTATCTTTGTTATGCTAATGAGTGGCTGTGTGTGTGTGTGTGTGTGTGTGTGTGTGTGTGTGTGTGTGTGTGTCTTGAGGGGCTAGATAGCTGCAGGATGAGGGCTGGTTACCAGAAAAACTACATAATTAGAAGGCTAAAACTTGCAGCTGCCTGACCTCTAGGTAGACGAAGGGGACTAGAGATTGAGTGACACGGCCAATGATTTATGCCTACATAATAAAACCCTGATGAAAAATTCAGGACAGCAAGGCCTGGGGAAGTTCCCGGTTGGTGAACACAGTGACGCCTGTGAGGATGACGGGCCTGGATTCCACGAGGAGAACAGGTGGAAACTCTGTCTCCCCGCTTCCCCCCAGACCTCTCATTTCTCCTAGACCTTGCTCTACGTGTCTCTTCCATTTGGCTGTTCCTGAGTTGTATCCTTTATAGTAAAATTGTAATCAAAAGTAAGGCATTTTAGTGAATTCAGTGTCATTCTAGCAAATTATCAAACCCAAAGGGGGAGTGGTGGGAACCCCCAAATTTGCAGCCAAGTCAGACAGAAGTATGGGTACCCTGGGGTTCCTACTTGCGACTGGTGACTGAGATGAGGGAGGTGCAGTTGGGGACCTCATCCTGGATCTTGTGGGGCCCGACAGCAACTCCGGGTAACGAGCGTCAGAATTGCACTGAGCTGTGGGACAGCCGGCTGGTGTCAGAGCTGTGGTGAGAATACAAGCACATTTCATCACGCGTGTTGACTGTTGAAATTGTAGTAAAATAAACTTAATATAAAATTCACCCTCTTAACCATTTTCCTTTTTAAACTTTTTATTGAAATGTAACATAATATATAAAACATATATAAGTTTGTAAGTACAACTCATAAGTAAACTGCTCAACAGTATTTCACAAACTGAACACACCCTTGAACCCAGCATCTGGATGAAGAACAGAATATTACAACATTCCAGAAAAGAAAAGGAGTATGTTGAAAAGACAGGAACGTTTTCATAATAAAAACCTAGATATGTTAATTAAACTGGGGGTGAGAGAAGTAATGTCTTTCCCATGCATTTGCATATACCCACTCTATCATATACCATTTCCAAAAATGGCTTCGCGGAAGACTTTCTAAGAAGTATTTGCGTTAATGTTAAAAACTTTTGTGGTAATAATAATTTTGGGACATATTAATTAAGGCTAGTCAAACAGGCTTGTCATTTAAGGAGATTTTCACAAATTCAGACTCCAGGGCCTAGTGCCTGAACATTCTCAAGTCAGGAGAGGAATGAGGAAAATATTTCTTGCCCATTCCAGATATATTTCTAAAATTATGGTAATATATATATAAAAAGATTTACCATTTTAACCATTTTTAAGTGTACAGTTCAGTGGCATAAAGTATGTTGACAATGTTATGCAACCATCACCTCTATCTATTTCCGGAATGTGTTCATCCCAAACAGGAATCCTGAACTCAAACAATAACCTCCTCATTTCCCCTCCTCCCTGGCAACCACTATTCTTTCTGTCTCAATGAACTTGCCGATTCTAGATACCTCATATAAGTGGGATCATACAATATTTGACCTTTTGTGTCTGGCTTATTTCACTTAGCACAGTATTTTCAAGGTTTATCCACGTCGTAGCATATATTAGAATTTCCTTCCTTTTTAAGGCTGACTAATGCTCCACTGTATGTATATATGCGCTTTGTTTATCCATTCATCTGTTGATGGACATCTTTTTTGTCCACCTCTTTACTGTTGTGAATAATGCTGCTCTGAACATTGCTGTGCCAGTATATACATTGTTATATATTTTCATAAAGCCATCCTCATGTATTTTGGTTGTATAAATAAACTTTTGAAGCACTTTATGATTTAGAGGTTAAACAGAACTTGATAACGACATTTTAAAGAGTCCAATGTTTTATTATCAGCATTAATAGTTGTTCCTGCTGAAGATTCATGGATAAAATAATGGACAGATCACTAGAATGTAAGCAACACTACACAGGTGGATCATAAATATATAGGAATATTTTGCTAAATATTGGATTAAAAAATATAAAAGATGAAATTACATCAATGATTTTGTGCTTAGTCTTTCTGAACATACTTTTTGTATTAAATATACAGCAAGTGCTTATACTTAAAGATTCTGCCTTTTTCTTTAGCAATGAAAACATGCTTATCCTTGGTTAATCAGAATTAGTTTCAAAAGGTAAAACTTCTCAAAGGTGAGCATGATATTTAGCGCTTTACACTGTGTTCTGGCTGGACTGGCTGCTTGATGAGCGCTCGCGTTCTTTGGTAACTTCCATCTCAACTTTGGCTTTGATTTTCTCCCAGTCTATCTGGAGCTGCAATCGAAGAAAAGAAGAAACATGCGTGTGTAGTATAAGACGTTTCGTTTAATCCAAGGTCATCAAGAGTAAATAAAAATAGACTTGTGGGAGTTTATGACTCCCAAAACATTAGAGAAAAAGACGGCATGAAAGAAAAGTTAAGAAATAATGCTCAAAAAAATAGCTTTAAGAATAAGACCAAATAGAACAATTACCACAATAAAAAGCAAAGACTCTCATTGTGATTCAAAAGACCAAAATCTAGCTGTAGCTATTTTATCAAAGGCACAGCTAACAGCCCCGTGGAGCCTTAGGATTCTGCACAGGTGCCTCAGGGACAGGGGAGAGAAGGCGGACTGCTCTCCCCCAAACAAGAGGAAAATGCACAGGGCTCTGGCCACCAGGCCATGTGTCAAATGGGTCAGCTCCTCACCGCTTAGATACTGAGATTCCCATCAGAAGCCTAGCTATGAAGAAAGATAGGGAGCATCTGCTTCCCCTGAGCATATTCCGCAAAAGTGGCTCCTTTGCAACAACTCTTAATGTAATATAAAGACATGGCGGTGGTGGGGACAGTGGTGAAAAGACATTTGAGGAAGCAGTGGGGAAGCAAAGCTGGGAGACACATAAAAAGAGTAACAGAAAAGTGACACCATTTTTATCTGTTTTTTTTTTTTTTTGCTGAGGAAGACTGGCCCTGGGCTAACATCTGTGCCCATCTTCCCGTACTTTGTATGTGGGATGCCGCCACAGCATGGCTTTATGAGCAGTATGCAGGTCTGCACCTGGGATCTGAACCTGTGAACCCCAGGCCGCCGAAGTGCAGTGCACGAACTTAACGAGTGCACCACCGGGCCGGCCCACTTGTTTCCTTTTGATCCACGATGCAGCCCCTCTGCCCCTGCCAGTCCAGCCCTGCCCCTCCCCTAAGCTTATTAGACTTGGTGTTAGAAATGGACTCTGCCCCTGAGCTCCATGGAAAATTTCTTTAGGAAAAAGCATTCTACTGTTCTAAGTAGTTTGGAGATCACTCACTTAGGAATATATGTCCTCTCAGGTAAGATATAGCAAAAACTGGGTCCTAGATTAAACTAACTCAATTTTACTATGTAATAAACCCAAATCCCTGAGACTGAGCCAAAGTGGATAGGTTTCACCTCCATGCAGGGGAGTTGAGTGGAACAAGCAGAGTTAAACCAGACTGAGGTGTGACTTGCTGCTTGAACAGACTTATCCTAAGTAACTGCGAGATTAATTTAACCTTAACAGGACTTCATGCCTCTTTTGTTTTGTGCTGGAAGTTGATGAAATTAAGTATTTGGTTCTTTTTTATTCTAATATCCTTTATCTAAATTTCTATGAAGTAATTTGTGGATATTTTCAGTCACTGTTTTTTTAGATAATAACTCCATATACTTATCTATAACATATAAAATGGATGAATTAAAAGACTCCCTCTTACTCATAGAAGATGAATGTCTGTGCTAAGATACAAGTGACAGCCCATTGAAAGACAGACCAAACATTAGATTATTTGCAAGACCCATTTTTCAATCAGGCCAGAACTTCATATTTTTTAAATGGCAAAACACTCGTTTCTATGTCGAACAAAACATTTGCAAAGAGAAAGACGAAACTTGATGAATGCCTTGGCCTTCTTCCAGCCGTATATTGACTTACACACATTTCTCGCATCAATCACAATAAAACCATATATTGACGGTACACTGAACAACTGTTGCTTTGCTGCACCAGAAGGCCATCAAATAAATTGATGACATCTATATTACTTACCTGTTATAGTACAACTGAGGGTATCAGCTGACAGCTGTCCTACTAAAAATAAATGTTTCACTTTCACTTTGGCATTTATCCAGTTTTAGAACAGTATTCTACTGATAATTTAGTCCTTGGAATAGAGGATTTTGAATAGTGGGTTTTAGATAAGGATGTATTCATGACAGTTGTCAAGTGACTTCTACACTAAAACACATCCTTTCTATCATAGGGAGTGTCAATACTATTTGGCACTTCTTATTTTAGTTCCTAGTAAATTCTTATTCATACAGAAGTAATTTCAAAATCATACCAAATGGCTCTCCATCTTCTACCCCATCTCTCTTATTCTCAGCTAGAAATCAGCTTCCTACCTTACAGAGAATACAGTGGTCATCAAGCATGAATTCACTTAATTTCCTTCCTCACACAAACTTACCTACATCTGTAGCCATCCTTATCTTTTTCCTTTCTGTCTCAGGCCAACCTTTTCACATTAAGTCCTTGATTCCATCTTCTTTGACTCCTCTAGGACATCTGCCTTCAATTATGACTTACATATTCAATTTCCTTCTCTTCACTGGCTGCTCCTCATCATCCTTCCCTCTCTATTCTGTCTCCCTGCAAGCTACCGCCCTCATTCATCTCATTCCTGACTCTCATTCTCTCCCCAGACCACTGTAATGTGACTGTGTTCCCATTACACTTCATAAACTTTTCACTAACGCCACCATCAAGTGTTTTCATTCCTCATCCTATATACCTTTTCTGTATGATTCAATTACTCATTCAACAAGTATTTAGTGTTACTATTCTAGGCGCAAGGATTTAGCAATAAACAAAAAGATAAAAATCACTGTCTTCATAGATAAACAAAGACAAATAATAGTGGAAGGCATATATATAATGTCAGAATATATATATATATAATATATAACGATATATATATAATGACATGATAATGATAATTATACACATATAATGTCAGAAGTGTTAAGAATTTTGGAAACAAGGAAGGCAGATAGTGAGTGCCAGGGCTGAAGTTGGGGGTGGGTGGGTGTTGTATTTCAAACAGCATGATCAGAAAAGGCCTCTTGAAGAAGTTGCCGTTAAGACCTGATGGAGATGAGTGAGTGAATCCATGTGTACATCGGGGAAAGAGCAGGCTGACAAAGAAAAAGGCCCTGACGCATTTCCTGGACCTTGGTGGCCACTGCTCTTTGAACCATCTCTCCCATTAGACTGTATAATACCACTCTCTTCTGGTTTCTACTCTCCCTTCTAAATGTCCTTCTTGGTCTTTTTTTTCCCCCTTTTTCTCCTATGTCCTTTCCCTAGACAACCTCTCAACTGTTCGTATTCACCAGGATCCCAACCACACTTGTTCATACTTTCCCTAGAAGATCACAGCAACTCACACAGCTTCAACTACGCCTAGATGTTCATGACCATCAATTTATTTACCATGCCCTGATTCCTCCTTTGTCAATGTCCTTCCATGTTCACATGTATATTTCCAGTCGTTGGCTAGATAGCTCCACTTGGATACCCCACAGGGCCTTCAAATTCAAAAAATTGTGTATTTTCATTTATTCAAACTCAAAAGGTCTAAAACTTGTATATTCTCATGTTCCTTATCTAGATTAATGGCATCCCCATCTACAGTCACCCACGCTAGAAATGCTCAAGTTGTTCTCAAATGTCTTGCCTTGCCTCACCACCTCTCCTCCCACCCAAACCACAATGTTCTCTTGATTTTACTGCTGAATTTTTTCTTACATTAATCTTACTCTTTCCATCTCCTGGTGGGTCTATTATAGTAATCTCCTAACTGGTCTCCTCATCACCACCCTTACCTCCAATCCATCTTCCATATCAGAAGTTATCTTTCAAGTCATTCTCTTGATTACAAACCTCCAAGTCTTCTCACTGCTTTCATTATGAATTCTATTCTCTTTAACACGGTATTAAAACCCTTCAATATCTGGTCCCAGCCAACATTCCAATCACCCAGGACCAAGAGCAGTCACTAGGGACACCTTCCCCATTCTTTTAAGACTCCATGCATTTGCTCTTATTACTATAGCCTTTAACTAACTAACAAAATCCTACTCAAGATAATTTTGTGTCAAACTCTAAGTTTCCATTTATTTTTAGGAATCAGGATTTTAAAAGGGAAAAGTGATCATGCTACTTCCTTTCAATGAACTCATATAAGTCTTAGGATAAAGTCCAATATCCATAATTTGCCCTATGAAACCCTCAAGTCAATCTCCCTTTTGCTCTTTACTCTTTCCCACTTCAGAGCCTTCCTCTGCCTGGAACATATCCATCCCTACCCCACTCTCACCCCCAGTCAGCTTCTACTATTCATTCTTTAGAGCTCAGCTCAAATATCATTTGCTTTGCTTAGAAAAGTCTTTACTGACCCTTACCCCCCTTGGTCAGGTTCCCCATTTATAAGGCTTTATAGCACCATGTACAACACCTTCAAGGCAATGATCACAATTGAAATTAATAACTAACTGTATTATTAACTATTGCCTCCATTTGAATATAAGCTTCATACGGCTGGAGTCAGTGTCTGCCATGCTTATATATCCTAAGCACCAAGGAGAGTGCATTGTCTGCAGGAAGCCCTCAATAAATATTGAACGAATAAAAGGTAACTATCCAGCAAAAGAGCTATCACCTAACAATCTCCTACTACCTTCTCTCCGGGGTTTTGCATCTCAGGACCTCATAAGATTATAAGGCCTTAAAACCTGCAAGGCACCTTAGGTAGTAGCAATGCCTAAAGTGGTTTGTCTGAACGAGAGTGTTGACTCCTCTGGATCTTCTTCAAAATTCTACACTTTCTGAAATTCTGCTCATGAGGCATTGCTTTGTTTTTCACACTTTCTTTTCCTCCTAGCATAATGTCTTAAACATTTCCTGGTTCTTCTACTTTTCTTCTTGCATAGAGTGTGTATTCAGTAGATTGAATATATTCCTCAAGTGGATTTTATTTGCCAAACTGACAAATTACTTTACAGATATCTACTGAACACCATGGTAGACCAGGTACAATGATTTTAACGGGGTTCTTACAAGACAGTCCACTTGTATGAATCCCAGATTTCTATATTTTAAACTAGAAACACCCAAGTAACATTTCAGGACTCTTAAATACGAATGTATATCAAACTTTTCACTTCTTGTAAACTTTCACGTTATGCATTGTGAGCCCACTAGAATTCACCAGATATCTAGAATAAATTTATCAATTTCAAAAAAATGATCTTTTTCTATTCAACTCAGTTTATATAATCACAATTTTGGCTAAGATAAATAAACACTGAGGAATTTTTAAGTCAAAAATAATTTTTATCTTAAAATACTGCTTTATGATTTCTAGTTAACTTCCAAATTATATTTATGAAGAAAAAAAGTAAGGTACTAGAACATAGTGCCATAGGGAGTAAAAGTAACCTATATAGTTTCAGGATGAAAAGAAAACTAAATACCCAACAAAATCACCTTGTTCTGATTACTCCACTTTGAACATTTCTGCTACTATTCTGATTGAAGTATTACATTTTGCTAACAGTTGAATACATATATAATGAGAAAGGAGATAAGAAGGTTAAGTTTTTGCTGTCTAAAATATAATTTCCCTGAGATTAAGAACTATATTTTCTATGTCCGTCCTCAAAAGCACCTAATGTGAAAATACTGAAGAAAATATTGATAACAAGGACGATGAAGAGGAAGCAGAGTAGTATTAACCTGCTTAAGAATTATACAGTAAAGCAAATTTAAGGTGGGTGCTCAGTGTTAACATATTGTCATGTTTTCAAAACTGTGACAAAGAGATCAGGTGATGTGGCGATTCTCTGGGCTGCCGTCATACTCTGTGAACTCAAGTGTAGTTCTCAGAGGTCCCAGGGACCCTGAGTTTGTCTCAGTAGTACAGCAAGCCCTCATAGCCCAAACTCCCAGAGGATTCATGTCAGTACTAAAGGTGTGAATAAAACAAAAAAAGTTTGTGGAGCTTCCATAAAATATGTCTCTTTCTACAAAGAAACCCACAGCTTGCGTCTATCTTGGATCCAGATGTTGAAGTTGTGTGGCAGAACTCTAAGAAGGGCCCCAAAGTCTTCACTACCCTAAAAACTGTCCTGAAGTCCAAAGATGTAGATCATGACACTCAGATTCTAAATATGATGAGACATAATAGAAAATATGCATATTAGTCTCTGTCCTGGTTCCTGGCACAGGGCTCCTGAAACCCTGACAATTCCCTAAGAGATAAGAGCACTAGGAGCATCTTTGTTCTAATATTTGGTCTTTGACCCCAGTTCCTGACACTGGGCTCCCAAAACCCTTATAATTTCCTGGGTGATAGGAGGGTCTTTTTTTTTAATGAGGCAACTCTGGGTGGGCTAACGGAGGGGGGCTGGTCACCCAAAAGACCATGCCATGATTAGAAGCTTGGAAATTTCAGCCCCACACCCCATTCTCTTGAGAAGGGAAAAGGGCTGAAAATGGAGTTAATGCTTGATCATGCCTACATGATGAAGCCTCCATAAAATCCCAAGAGTGCGGGGTTCAGAGAGAGCTTCCAGGCTGGTGAACACATCCACACTGGGAGGGGGATGCACTCCAACTTCATAGGGACAGAAGCTCCTGTGCTGGGGACCCTCCCAGACCTCGCCCTGTGTATCTCTTCATCTGGCTGTTCATCTGTATCCTTTAATATCCTTTGTAATAAATCAGTAATCTAGTGAGTAAACAGGTTTCCTTGAGTTCTGTGAGCCATTCTAGCAAATTAATCGAACCTGAGGAGGGGACCAGGGGAACCTCTGATTGGTCAGAAGCACAGGTAACAACCTGGACTTGCAACTGGCATCTGAAACCCAAGGTTGGGGTCATTGGAACCTCCGATCTATAGCCGGTAGGTCAGATGCACAGGTGATAACCTGGGCTTGCGACTGGCGTCTGAAGTGGAGGTGGAGGTTGGGGGCAGGGAGTAATCTCGTGGAACTGAGCCCTTTACTTGTGGAATCTGATGCTATCTCCAGGTAGATAGTGTCAAAACTGAGTTAAATTGTAGGATGCCCAGCTGGTGCTGGAGAATTGCTTGTTGGCATGGGGAAAAACCTCCACACATTTGGTGACCGGAAGTGAAGTGTTTTGTGTGAACAGTCAAGGAGACTCACAGGTGAAACTCATAGTAGGGAAGAACTGGGTTTTCCCAACACAGTAGGGGAAAGACTGAGTTTTTCAAATCATATGGTAAATGGATAATGGTGGCTTTAGCAGGAATTGTAGGTGCCTTCTCCTACTTTCTTTCCTCTTCCCAAGGTTCCTCTAATTTATCCTGCCCCCTAGGATGGAGCAGGATATTCCATTGTCTTCTTTTTTTTTTTTTTTTTTTTTTTTTTTTTTTTAAACATTTTTTTTTTTTTTTTTTTTTTTTTTTTTTTTTTTTTTTTTTTTTTTAAAGATTTTATTTATTTATTTTTTCCCCCAAAGCCCCAGCAGATAGTTGTATGTCATAGCTGCACATCCTTCTAGTTGCTGTATGTGGGACACGGCCTCAGCATGGCCGGAGAAGCGGTGCGTCGGTGCACGCCCGGGATCCGAACCCGGGCCGCCAGCAGCGGAGCGCGTGCACTTAACCGCTAAGCCACCGGGCCGGCCCTCCATTGTCTTCTATCCCCAAGAAGGAGCACTCCCACACCGTCTATAAGATCCACAAAGGCAGATGCCATATCTGATTCAACACATTGTACATTAGTGTGTACCTGGCCCAGAGTGAGTACTCATAAACATTTTTTGAATGAATGAATAAACATTTTTTGAATGAATAAAAGGCTAAGGAAATCAACTGGTTCACAGAGCTGGGAGCAAGGTCAGCCCTGTCTTGGGATCACAAATCTCTTGGATCTGCATGGCTAGAGGTGAACTCTATTTCTGCAGTCTGAGCCTAGAAGGATCTGAGCAAGTGACCACAATCAGTTCTGCTCTAGGCACTTGGGCAAACTCTCTTGTTCTGGCTCTCCTTGTGGGCTGACATGTACTGGAATGACTTTCTTCTAATTGAAATGATAAAACCTGAGATTCTAGTAGAAATTTGAGAGGCAAAGGTTTAGCCTTCTTTGGTTCTAGTTGGTGAAGTCCACTGAAGCTAGGTCCCTCTTGAGGTGCAACTAGACTCCCTAATTCTGCAAAGTGACAAAGTATCTATTTTCTGGCCAGTGCCCTTTGTGCTTATATATCTCCCCTGGAGCAAAAAAGGCAGCTGATAGAAGACAAAATTCAGGAGTTAAAAGCCTTTATCCCAGGCATTTATATTGTTTATCTAAAAATATCAATTAGTACCCAAACGTAACACAAATTGAATATGATGAAAACAGATTTGAGTTAATCAAAACATGGCTGTAAGATTCCAGAAAAAAAATTTAGTAATATAACTATATAATCAAAATAAGACTACAACATAATAAGAGACAAGGTAATTTTTTCAGAGATTATGGTGTGAATTATTCAAATTTTGTCTAATTAAGATGAATATTATATATACTTACAAAAATATACATTATATAAAATATTGTATAATACTTACACCTTCTGCATACTGCAAGTATCGTTTATTAGTTTCCTGTTTACCAAACGTCTCTAAAAACTTTTGACGGTAAGCAAGAACTGTATCAACATGTGTTTTGTATTTTACAGCCAATTCAAGTGCCCTAAAACGAGAAATAAAACAGATTATCAGCATTGCTTGTATTACCCTCTCTGGGCAATAGAGTTTTGGGGTGAGAGGGTGGGACAAATGGTCTATGTTGTTCCCTCCACTCATTCCTCAATATGGAATATCATTCCCTACCTCATCCATCTTGCAAAGTCCTATTTATACTTCAAGGTACAGATCAAACACAATCTCTTCTCCCTGACCAGCGCCCCTTGTAGAAATAAATGACCATCTTTTTATCTGTGCTCTATAACATTTTATACATACTATTATTACAGCACTACTTACAGTATATTATAATCATTATTTGTGAGTCTGTTTCCTCCACTAACCTATATATGTATTGAAGGGAGATCTGGATTTCATTTCTCTTTGGTGAGTACTACAGAGTATATATATAGTAAATGTTCATTGAAAAATTCATTGAAATCATAATAAAATTCAAGTGAATGAACTTATCCCCAACATAAGTGGTTCAACTATCTTGACCATTTTTCTAAGTCTATAACAAATTTGTTCTGTTCAATATTCAATTAAATACTGATATCCTTTATTATTTTTAAGGTAATATTTTATTTGAATAGCAGACGAGAACTAAATGAATTTTTGGAAATCGGTAGTATAACACCAAAGACACAAAATCTACATACTGCTAATTTGGAGGGAAATAAAAAGATTACTCCACAGTTCCAGGCCTATTTTTGTATGTAGGATTTGGACTGCATCTCAGCCTGTGATCCTGTGCTGAACTCATATTAGCTGAGTCAGGAACAATCCTGTGGAGTAGAGCTCTCCTACACTGTCCACTGTCATCTTGTTTTAAAGTATGGGAAACGGCCATCATTATAGTCAAGTATATTATTTCTCAAGTTCTCTTGCTCTCTAATATGACATGACTTCTGAATAGGCCAGTCATGATTTATCAGAGCCAGCTACCATAAATGTGTTGTTTTATTATTGTTTATTTTTATTTTTATTTATTTATTTTTTCCCCCAAAGCCCCAGTAGATAGTTGTATGTCATAGTTGCACAGCCTTCTAGTTGCTGTATGTGGGACTCGGCCTCAGCATGGCCAGAGAAGTGGTGCGTCGGTGCGCCCCCAGGATCCGAACCTGGGCCACCAGCAGCAGAGCACGCGCACTTAACCGCTAAGCCACGGGGCAGGCTCTAAATGTGTTGTTTTAGACAAGACTGACTACTGACTAGATTTCTGCAATGTGTGACTCTTCAGAAGGAAAATCTGTTTCATTCTTAGCATGCTTTGGTTTGACCTAAACTAAATAGTCACTTTAAAAAGTATTTTAGATATGCTGTGTGTATTGACAATTGATAGACAATTGAGAGAGATATTACAGACTTAAAATGAAAAAATAATGAATGTAAGTCATGTATAATACAAATGATAATACCAAAATTCAGCACACTGATTTCTTATAAAAAATATATAGGCATAAATCATATTGCTAAATCCAAGGTTCAGTATTTGCTACCCATCACAAACTCCTCACAAAGTTCCCTCATTCCTCTGTGACTTTAAGTCTTTCAGAGAAAAAGAGGATACACAGAAAAGAATATAGAGGTACTGGAATATAGAGGAACAAAAGTGGAAAATAAGAGAAGGCAAAAAACAATTCACAGAGGCTCAAAAGATGAGAAATAGAAATAAAGATGCCTTAACCCTTCCAAGCCTTTCCCGTATCACCCCCTACATACCCCTCAGGTTCTAATTCCAGTGGTGTACGGGTGAGTGGAGACTCCAGTGAACTACCTCTTTGGCACCTTAGAAGTTCCATTTCCCATTCTTTCTTTATGATTGTACATGATGGGGGAAAGAGTTCTTGATTTCAATAAAACTAGAGGTATTCACAGTGGGGAGTACATAAGTATCTACTCTGGGTTGGGGCTTTTCAAAAATTCCAAAGAGATACTTTGTTATGGAACATCAAAGGATTATATAATATATGTAGAAATTATATAGAAAGGATAGAATATGATGTCTATACTGCATTTAGATACTAGATACTAAGTATTATCTATCACTACAGTTATTATTATAAAATATGTATCAATTATCTGATTGAAGAGCAATGGCTAAAGGTAAACATTCAAATGATATGTGCTATTTTAAATGTTCTCTAAAAGTGCACATTGGGTAAGAAATATTTCCTTACCACATTGAGAAGAGAATTCACTCCAAATTATATAAGCGTTATGGGAACAGTATGTTTCTAGCTTTAAAATGGTTATTTGGCAACCAAACAAATGTGACACTAGAATAAATCAATGTACTTCTCTGATTTTAAATAGAAACAAGTTATATAAAAAGATGTTATAACTTCAAAATATGATTTTTTACATAACTTGAATGAAGCAAAAATCACTTTACATAACTGATAGAAGTAGAGAAATCATTTTTATTAATACTTACATAAAGGATCACTATGTATATCTGGAGTTTCTAGTTTCTACCTCTTTTAACTTCAGTTTTTGAGAACACACTATCACCAAATATCTAAGTGAATGTCAAGTAGATAACTTGCTTCCCTATAACTCTTCAAAGGCTGCATCTTATTAGGTTGCAGGCAATTTTCAACTCAAATATAAATGACAGAAGCACAAACCAGCAAGACTGTGCTTTTCAAGTTAACAAAATAAAATCTGTTCCCTTCTAAAGGATTTAAACAAATATAGAAATTCAGGGATCTTAAAAGCAATCTAATAAATTTATCATCCAATACTTAAATTCTATCCTTCTAGAATTCTAGAAGGATAGAATTAGAATATCACCATAATTAATTAATGGATCTGGGCAATGATCATCAATGGCTGCTGACATCACAAAAAGATAGACAACCAGTCACTATGTAAACATATACAACACTGCCTCTGATGGAGCCTCACCAAAAGGAAAAAAAACAAATTAAGCCTAAATCTAATCAAGTTTCTAGATTCAACACCAATTTATAGCTAATTCAGGGAGCAGAGAGACATGTTAAATGACAACATAAAGATGCAATCAACAAAGTCCAGACTATGGGAAATCCTATAGGCAGTTTCTGCAATGGGAAAACTGCAGGAAAACACAAAAAAGAAATAGGAGACCCTACGGATTAAAAGAAACTTCAGAACGGATCAACCAATCACAATATATGAATCTTTTTTTGGATCCTGAATCAAACAAAACAAAACAAAGCATTCATGAGACAATCAGAGAAATAAGAACACCAAATAGAATTATTGTTAACTCTTTAAAGTGTGATCATGGTATCGTGGCTAGATTTAAAAAACCTTTGAGATACATACTGAAATGTTTACAGATAAAATGATACGATGACTGGGATCTGCTTGAAGAAAATGGTGGGAGAGGGGTGGGGGTGTGGTAGAGATTATTCACAAATTTATAACAGTTGAAGCTGAGTGATGGTACATGGGCATTCATTACTCTATTCTCTCTACTTCTGTATATGTTCGAAATTTTCCATAATAAATAGTTTTTAAATTTCCATCTTTTTGGTCCCTCCTGATCTCCTTTGCTGAATTCTCCTCTTAAACCAGACCATTAAATGTTGGATTTCAGGAGAGATCTGCCTGCTGCCCTCTTTTCTTTTTCATTCTTTAAATTCTCATAAGTAATCTTAGCCATACTCATGGCCTCAACCACTCCTAAAGGCTGATAATTCCCTCAGTGGCTTTCCCTCAATGTCTAGGACTTCTCCTAATTTCACACCTGTATATCCCACTCCCTGCTGAACCTCACGAACTGGACAGATAAAGGTAATGAAAATTCAATAAATCCAAATTGTCAGACAGCTTAATCACCATCCCTACACACAAAAAATCTACCACCAGTAGAACCTTGGTCTACACAGATACCAAATGTGGGCTTACCCTGCTGCCACCAGACACAAACTCAAGCCCTGCCAGCCTTTCCTGGGATACACACAATATCAAAATTAAAAAAAGGAAAAACACTATTTGATAATATAAGCCAGTTCTGGAAGTCTGAGTTTATGAGAATGATTACATACTCACTCCCAGGAGAAAAGGGAAATACATGTGAAGAAAAAATAAGATTTTTTTTTTTTTTAATGAGGAAGATTGGCCCTGGGCTAACATCTGTGCCCATCTTCTTCCACTTTATATGGGATGCCACCACAGCATGGCTCGACAAGCGGTGCACTGGTCCGCACCCGGGATCCAAACCTGCGAACCCTGGGCCACCGAAGTAGAGCGCGTGAACTTAACCACTACACCACCAGGCCAGCCCCAAAGAGGATCTTTTTTTAAAAGACCATTGTCTATATAGATGCAAGAAGTCTATTAATTAATTAATCGATCACATAATTTTATCATTCATCCTATGTTTGAATATCTTTGCAGATGTGGATTATTCGACTCTCTAAGCAGACCATATTTGGATTATGCTGTTTTAAGTTGATTCTTATATTGAATCCAAATATCTATGCCTGTTACTTCTACCTTTTTATCTTAGCCACAGAATTTAGAATCAAAACTGTCATCAAGGAACTTTGTCCGTTTTGTTCATTGCTGTATCCCCAGTGCCTCACACCTGGCACAAGAGAGACACTTAAAAAATATTTAAAATATGAATAACAGCTACCATTTAGTGAAGGCTTACTCTGTGTCAGGCAGTATGCTAAGATATTTCCACACACTATTTTTTCAATCCTGCCAATAAACATGAGGTTATTGTTATTATCACCATTTTAAACATAAGAACTGAGGCTTATAGAGCCTTGGTAACCTGTCCAAGATCACAGAACCAGAAATCAAACCCAGGTCTGATTCCAAAGCTCTCATTCTATTTTTTTTTTTTTTTTCTATTGAGGTCACTTTGGTTTATAACATTTTATAAATTTCAGTTGTACATCATTATATTTCGACTTCTGTATAGATTGCATTGTGCTCATCACCAATAGTCTAGTTTTTATCCATCACCATACACATGTGCCCCTTTACTCCTTTCACCCTCCC